TCAATCGAGTTTTTATCGAGCTATCGACCTTAATAAGGTTTTTCCAGAAATTTCAAACAGTTTGAATGCTATACGAAAAAGTAAGATTTGGTCTACAGTCTATTTGTTTTCGGTAAAAATTCACTTTCAACATTCAAACTTTTTCTTGTGTGTGTTTTTTTTTGTCTCCATCGATGGCCTTCCCGAGGAACTTTCCAATATGCAGATGAGAGTGTTTGAGTCTACAATAAGGAAAATATTGTCAGCTAGAGGTCGCGAAAATGTACCAAAACCAAGTTCGTTGGATTCATCGCCTCCTCCGAGGAGAAAATTATGTGGAATTTAAAGCATTCTGCGATAATTTTATTTTTTTTCGACCGAAATTGCACAATGTAGACTATTGTTTTGTCAAGACGACTTTCCTCTCCACTGTTTGCCATTAAAATTGTTAGTTTGTCCTTATTTTTGGACTTTTCGTTCACAAAACCCGCTTCTGTAAAGTGTTCCTGAATTAGACAAAATTATTTGATTTTATGAGCTTGTAAACAGTGTCGAAAGCCACCACATGTGCCAGATATCGCACACATCCTGGCCCCCTTCCCTAATTAGATTTAATTAATGATGGAAAGGTACGGTGATTTGCCCCTCGAATCCCCATATCCCTTTTTCCATGCGAACTCGAATTAGGAAGCGGCAAATTAGTTAACCTAGTTTTGGGCGAAGCGCGGAAGTGTTTGTTATTGGGCAACGTTGCCCTTTCCTATTTATTTACCAAAACCATATAGTTAACATCCAAACAAGAGATTGTTCACCTGATTCGGAGTAAACAGCGGTATTGTTTACTTGCTGATGTTCGATGGAAGTGAGTATCAAGAGTTACTCTAAGTCGAGGTGGATATGAAAATATTTGGGGTTCGCTCCCATTTCAAGTGAGCATCAGAGGAATGAATCCATTCTTCCAGGAAAAACGATTAAACACTACCTTGAGCTGCAGAAGTTCATTCGGGAGCATCTCAACACATTAATGACTTCCCAGATGTATTTTCAGAAGAGGAATCAAGCAAAGAAAGGAAGGGACACAGAAAATATAATTGGAAAATACAGGACGATATCAAACCTGCCGATTTCAGCTCTTCGGCATTGTTTGGGCGCTTAATGACGCCGTTTTTTACGGCATCATTATCAGCCGCTTCATTATGCAGACACTCGCCCACACACCGCATGGAAAACGTGCACTTAGAGCAATCCCACTTTTTAATCCATTTATTTAAATCACCGAAAAAACGAAGAAACGAAGCCGAAGTACAAGAATGCGTCGAGCGCGTACAACAAAAATAAACACGCCAAGACCATGAGCATGTGAAACCTTGCCGTCTGCTGTAAATCATACACGGGCCAATGTAAAAATTAAACTGGTCTCTTTGTTGGTTATAGAGAGAACAAACAAAAGTAAAACAAGAGTGACTGACCAGAATGGTATACATGGGCGATTTAATGGGCACAATCGTGTAGATTCCTGCGAAGATATATGATGCCGGAGTTTATGAGCAAATGCTTTTCATAAGTCGCTTTTGGAGACCGAGTTTTATGGATTGAAGCCGTTTTTTCGCGTTCCTGCTTCTCCGCAAGGAGCCAATTTACATTCCCCACTAGAGAATCAATGCACAATTCTTTTTAATTATTGGGCCTAATGAAGCCTGAAGAATCCAAATCCCTGTGTTTTACACCATAAAATCCAATGATTGTGATGAACATCCAAATTAACTGAAAACATATCAATAATGGACACAAAACTTGTCATCCTGTATAACATCGTCTAAATCTTCCATTCAACCAGCGAGTTTTGGCACAGTTGATTTTTCTCTTGAAGTTTTCAACTGAAAAAAGCAAACAAGGCATGTTTTACATGGAACAACTTTCACTAAACAGATGTGATGTGTGGCTAGAAATGACTAAAAAAGGAAAAGGCCCTGAACAAGAAAAGCCACAAAAAATTAAGCTAAAAATCAAATTAATTTTCTCTAAAATCTTAAGTAATATGCGAGTGCTAGTCATCTGTATGCCACACTAGCCTTATCTTTCATATCCCGTCTCTTTCGCAATGGGCGGGAATCAGTTCTCGCTGGAAAAGTTTAGTGCCATAATTTCAGTTATTTCGCTGAATACAAAACAAAGAAATCGAAAGAAAATGTCATAAAGAGAGATTTATAAATTAGCGGCGCAATTCTTCAAAAGTCGGCAATCATTTAAATAGAAACAATAAAAAGTATTCACGATTTGTTATAATCACCGATAAAAAAAAACAGTCGATTTTCTTAGAAAAAATTAACTACCTGGACTTCAAAAAGGTTCAGAGAAGTAAAAATCACAACAAGGAAATTACGATGTTGTTTAGCACTATCAACCTTAGCCCATATAAGCTGCATTCTCTTTCCTCTCGCAGTGATTGTAAAACAATGTGTTAATTTTTTGTTTGAAAAGGACAAATTTATGTTGCATTGTTGCAATTGAATACGCAAAAATCGTTGTGAGGGACAAATCGACTGAGGACGTTTATTATCTGTATTATTTTCTTTAGCAGAAAAAAATCAAAAGAGTTGAATACACGAAATCAAACAAACAAAGAAAAATTAAAAAAAAAGTCCTTAGCAAATAAAAAATTATTTACAATGATTCAAAAAGTGATTCAATGTTTAAGAGCGTTAATTAGGATGGATTTACTAGTGTTACACTTCTTATGTTCATCTCGCTCACACTTGAATGGAGTCAATTCTAGCTTGAAAAAGCCAATTTATGGTAGGTTTTTCTGGAAATAAGATCATCTTTACAGGATGGCACAAAACTAAGTTACCTTAGGAATGACCTAAAAGAGTGAATATGATATTTTTGAAAGAGCGTTTTGAAACTTAGTTAGAAGCGTTAGCGAGTTAGAAGCATAAGAATGCGGGTGAAGGACTCAAACAGTTCTACTCGAAAACGGTTGAAAATATGTAACAACTTAATAGGATATTTGTGAAACGGCGCGTTCTTAGCTGTATTTCACTAGTTGGGTTAAATGAGAAATTCCTAACCTTTAAAAAGTTAGAAGTACAACAACTCCGATTTTATATACATTGCGTCCGTTTCAAATAAAAACATCTATTGAACTTTCACGACTTATCACGACTATCCACGATGATGATAAAGGTCTGATGGAGTCAGTCCTGGTGGTGCGACCGGCCATTCAGTAAACCTTTTCTTTCCCTCTAATTATGTGGGAAAAATACGTGAAGATAATCTGGTATTGTTAGCGAGTGGTGTGAGAATGAATATCTAATCTACCCTTAACCGTTAGGGTGCAGCTAAACAGGGAAAAAGTTATTTCTTCTGAAGCCTAAAACATTTGTTTTCAAGTCGTTTTGAGGCCACCCTGTTTACATTACTTGGCATGTTTGTATGAAATCGCCTGAATCTGGAATTAATAGGCTCCATAGTGCGCTTTCAATGAGACGATGAGCTGTTCAAGTTTGGCAGTTTCTCAAAAATAAGTTTCTTGTTTAGTTTACTAGAATTTTTCATTAGACATACTTTGGCTCCTTGTTTTCACCCTACAAGAGTTTCTAGTTGATCCCTTGGTGAATTACAGTTTTTTTTTTTAAGAAAACTTTGTGTTGCAAAACGCAATCAAAGTGGAATTTGTGACTTCTGAAGTTATGAAGGGAAGAATCAGAAAATAAATGTTAAACTCCGGCCTACAAAAACAACCTCCTAAACCAACCACAATTTTGAAAAATTGTGAAAAATTCCCTGGTCACAAATGAAAATTGAAACCTTTTCCATTTATAGACCAGACTTTTTCTTATAAAATGCCGCCAGAATCGACTTTTTGGCTTGTCGAGCGGTAATGAATTACCGACCACCGAAACACGACCCACGAAAAAAACCCCATAAACTTAATGCAGGTTTGAAAAATTGTCTAAAATTGTTTGATATGGGCTGAAAATTTGCCACTTTCTCCGTTTATAGAAGAAGCGATGTTCTTTAAAATGCATTTAAAATTATCTTTCTTACTTCTAAAGTTACTGGGAAAATTAATGAGAAACTCCGACCTACAAAAGAAAATCTCGAATACCAAGCACATTTTTGAAAAATTGTGAAACATTCCCTGATTACGACTGAAAATTGAAACCTTTTTCATTTATAAACAGACTCTTCCTTATAAAATGCCTCTAAGATGAAGTTTTTGGCTTGGTAAGTTTCAGAGGTAATGAATTTCAAACACCGACCCATGAAAAAACTTTATAAATTTAATGCAATTTTGAAAAATTGTTTAAAATTGTTTGATAATAGCTGAAAATTTTTCGCTTTCTCCGATTATAGAAGAACCAGTGTTCTACAAAATGTATTTAAAACGCACTTTCTTACTTCTAAAGTTACAGAGAAAATTAATGTCAAACTCCGACCTACAAAAAAACCCTGGAAACCCAAACACAATTGTGAAAAATTGTCAAAAATTGTCTGATGATAACTCAAAACTCGAGACTGTTTCTCCTGTAACAGAAAGTTTGCCCTACAAAATACATGCAAAACGCGACCCTCTCACATCGTCAATTCCTGAACAAATAGAATCGAAGAGACTGATTCATTATTTTCATTCTACAAAAGCTAGATTTGTTGACCGCGATGGAAAGACAATAGATAGTTTCAATTGATGTTAAAGCAAAATCAAAGACATTGCCGAAAAAAAAGCTGGCAAAATACGAATAGCAGAAATCCTTGGACGGCGCACGTTGCTGCATTTCTGCATCGCTGCAGTCCGATGGCCGGCGTCGTGTAATCGGCCTGGTGCAAGGTGAAGCCCCTGACCTGGCAGGCAGCAGGTTGAAGGGCGTTTCTGCTGCTTTGTCTGCCGCAGACATGCCGATTCTCGATCACATTAATGATATCTTCGAACCCATCGGTCGCGCAGGATTTTATCATCTCTTTAGTTAAGCGGACCGAACGAAACGTGGCGAAACTAATGCACCATTTCTTTGTTTCAGGCTGCAAAATCAAGGCTTTGCGTGCGAAAACAAACACGTACATCAAGACGCCGGTGCGAGGTGAGGAGCCGGTCTTCGTGGTCACTGGTCGAAAGGAGGACGTGGCCAAGGCCAAGCGGGAGATTCTGAGCGCTGCTGAGCACTTTTCCCAGATCAGAGCTTCCAGGAAAAACAACCTTGCAGGGTTGGGATCGGGCGCGAGCACTCCTCCGGGACCTCCGGCCAATGTTCCCGGCCATGTGACCATTCAGGTGCGAGTGCCGTACCGCGTGGTTGGCCTAGTGGTGGGGCCCAAAGGGGCGACGATCAAGCGTATCCAGCACCAAACTCACACGTACATCGTCACACCCAGTCGCGACAAGGAACCCGTCTTCGAAGTGACCGGCCTGCCCGAAAGCGTGGAGTCTGCACGTCGGGAAATTGAGGCGCATATCGCCATGCGAACGGGTAACAGCAACGGCCTGGCCCTCAGCGGCTTGCCATCTCTAGGCAGCATGGAGGAGAGCGACATGTTCGTCTCAATTTGCAAGACTGGCTTGCACTCGATCCTAAATTGCATGGAGCCCATTCAGGATCAGTTCCCCACGATGACTTCTTCGACGGGAAGTAGCGGCGCTTTTTCCGGCTCGAGCTCCGGCTCGTGTTCCAGCAGCTCATCCAGCATTGGAGGCAGAGACCTGGGAACCATTTGGGGCTCGACTGACCGGGATGAGGGCCTCGGCGACTCGCCCAGCTTTGATACGACGACAGCGCTATCGAGCATATGGTCCTTTCCGATGATCCCATCGCGGCCCAGCCCAGCTAACAGCAGCAGCTCATCCGAGTCCCTGGGATCGATGTCGTTTGGTTTGAGCGCAAAGTGCATGGTTTGCAACGACTCGAAAGTGACCCATGCTCTGGTGCCGTGCGGCCACAACCACTTCTGCATGGACTGCTCGAATAGGATCTGCGACGGGGCGGGCGCTCAATGTCCCCTTTGCAAGACGCGCTCGATCCAGGCCATTCGAATCTTTTCGCCCACCGTTTAAATCTGAAGCAGGTAACACGCAGCAGCTGAATGATCTCGCTCGAATCTCCTTGTCCGGTAGCCGCATAGCAGGGAGTTTCCGCTGAAACTTCACACAACAGTATTAATGCCGAAGTTGGATGGATCGCCTCGCTCCCTACCATGCGGTTCGCACCCATCACATTCCCCCTCCGGGTCTCTGGAAATCCTGTGTTCAGCTTGCCGGTCTGGGCGCTTGGCGCATTAAGGGATACGCATACAACGAATACCTACTAAAAATTCTATTGTTGATTTTGATCATTTCCCTAGCGAGCAGGAGTTCTTCTTCGTTTCGGTTGTTTATATTGGTTGAGCTAAGTGGTCCGGACCTGGCCGAGCGTAGTCATCGTATGCCAGTTTTCATATTTCCCTTTTATTTTATTACCGTTTTACGACTAGTAGGCATTAGGAATAGAATTATATTTAGTTTTTTTGATCGAGTTTACCCGTTTTCCTGCTTACAGCGGAAGATTGTTTAGAACACGACTTCTAGATATGTACGTGCAACCGTTTAGTTTATCTAGTACAAACTAGTTGGCATCGTACCGATGTCCGCTTTTTTGACGCTCCGCCACCCTCTATATTGCAAAAGACATTGCGACACCAGCATTCTATCAGATAGATTTAGCTACTCGACTCGAAGTATTTTCGTTATTTTTTCAAGTGTATTTTTTTAAGTTTTGCCATGTGAAATCGATCACGTTTTTAAAGTCTGAAACAGCAATTCTCAAAATATTATTTAAGTAATATGTGACATTTAAACAAATATTTAACATTAATAGAAAAAGCATAAGTATAGTAAAAGTTTAAAAAAAATATTATATATTTGGGAGTGAGACATAGTTTTCGTAGTAGACAGTGGGTTAATAATGCAGTGAGTCAAGAGTGCATCTGAGATAACAGCGGACACGACCAGTTCGAGGGCCTTTTGGCTGTGATCTTCAATACGCCGCCGTTAAGGGCCGGTCCGACCCTGTCGGGATCGGGACCGCTTCTCGTTGTCCAAATACGGCCAACTTTGCGTAACTTTCATTCAAGTCAATTGTTGCTATTCGGTCAATTGCTTGGACAAAGCTGATGTGCGCAAAACTGGCATGCATTTGGCAATTCGACACTCGAATCGGCCCCCATCCCGTCCAAGCACCCCCCTAATAACAACATACATATCCATTATTGTTAGTTAAATCACATATTGTTAATATTGTTCTGTTATCGTGTGATGCATATATTTCTATATATATTTTTAAGTCGATCTAATGAGTTTTAAGAGACTAATGACTATAAATTACTTATTAATTGTGCGCACAGGGCCTCGGCACGCTCCTGATGGCCGTCGAGTTTCGTGGGTTCCATTTTTCACATCACTGTTAAGAATGTCTCTAGTTGCCCGCTTTTGCAGCCCCAATCCAACGCGAAAACCATCAAAATTTGGCAAATAATTCCACTTCTCGAAAATCACTGCAACCCCATAAGACATCGTGTTCAATTGTACAGAGCCATTCTTAGCTGTTACTAACATGATAAGACAATTTTCAAAATTAACAGTACATGTAAAAAAATAAATAATTAA